TTGATTTTATATTAATTAAGAAATATGCCTCTTCATTTTAAGTTAGCTATATAATAGCAATAATAAAACTAACAAAAGTCAATGTAGTAATTAACAGCATCAAAAAAAAAATACTGTTAGATTCTAATATTCATCTAGAATCGATTTGTATATAGATTATCAATGTTAAATAAGTATGCCATATCTACTAACTTTTTTCAAATATTTGCTTAAAATTTTTACAAACAAATATTATTATGATTTAATCACATCTTCATAATTCTTGAGTCCTGCATGGGCTTCATCTATACACTCATCTCGCAGATGTTGTGTCTTTAATCTTAAGTCTATCTTCAATCTTTAATCTTCAAGCAGATAAAGGTGAGAAATAGGTTGGATTGATAAACTATATTATATACCGCCTATACCAATTACTGATATTTGGTTTTTAAATATGTATGTGTGTTAGATTTTACGTTATAAAGAGATTTTAATTATATATATAAAAATCTTTATCTCTTAGCAGAAGATTTCTCTGAGCTACTTATATCAAACATTTGTATAACATTTTATATACTTTAACTATCTTATAAAATATATAATAACTTTAATATTCATAATTCATTAAATTAGTGTCATTAATAATCATACAATTGTACACTTTAGCACTAATTTCTTAATATAGTAAAAGAGCGCATATAGTGAAAGTTGAAAACCAGTGTTTATTTTTTATAACTATATAAAAACTTGTTAAAAAAATTTTCGATAATAAATTATTAAGTGATTACTTGCGCTACAGCGTCATCATGTTCTAGTATATTGATTATACGAATATAGTGAGCATTTATTAAATTTTTAAATAGTATATGAAAAGCAGTTTTTTGTATGAATACTTAGTCCTAGCTAGGGTTTCTATTCTAAAGCATAACGTCATTGTTATGACTCAAATCAATATAAATTGCACAGGATATATGATGGTTATATCATAATTATTAATAATGTTGAGTCATAATTCTATAATATTCACCAGTAATTGTTAAATATTGTAAACATAATGATCGCTATTATATAAAACTATACAAGTCACATATGATGTTCTCCTGCATCAGAATTCCCTTCCACTCAACCTTATTTTTCACAACCGACATTTGGAATATGACATTTATTAACACAATCTAAGCTTACGTTATAAGTCGTAGTCTTCCTTTGTTAGAATATAAATAACTCGTTGCAAGCAACATGTTCCATAATAGTTCGTCACTACTTCTTGTAATTATGTGTCCGGCGAGCCCAACGTACAGTGAACTGAATTTCGACTTGAATGATAATAATTATTTCTATGCCAAGTACAGAGAAATAAATATTACAAGAATATTTAAAACACGAGGCGAACTCTTGCGGTTGGCATACATCCCTTATTAAAGCCAAGTAAATGTAGACTGCATACTTTGCAATCTTGGGGTAATTGAAGAGGTTCAACATTTCATGACAATCTATCCCATATTACAGGAGACTAGATTTTAATATTTCGGAAAAGTAGCATTAGAAAAAACAGATGTAATTTGACTATGAAATGGAGAAAATTGGTTCTTGCTTAGCGCATTTGTTAGTGAAGCAACTAGTTATAGAAAAACACGTTAATGAAGTTAGATTGAGCTAGAGTAACATCGTAATCCTTCCGAATCCATATTTCATAAGCTCCTACAACAAAGAAACACAAGTACCCGCTCAGTTTTACAAGTGCTGAAACTGCAAATTACTTCTTTATTGTGTGAATTTTCTTAGAAAGTTCCTCTAAGCGGCACTTAATGCTAATTTATTAACTCCATAATATTTCTGAAAACTACTTTTCTATCTTAAAAATGTTTATCTTAAAACCAAATCAAATTTACATTCGAATTTTCAAGAAATCAGGCTACTCAAGTGGATTTGCAGCGCCCGTAGATTTCTTCGATTAATCTTTTGTTACATTCCTTGCTCCTGTTCTTATACAAACTTTTCCACTAAAATTTGAAATGCAATTAAATGTATCCTTAAAATTAAAATTTTTAAATTTACAATATTAACTGATACGTATTTCTCTTCAATTGTATGTTTTCTTTCTTTTTTTTCGCCAAGAATGCTATCAAAAACTACAAACGCTGCCAAAATTCAAAAATACAAATTTGGATTTTTAGTTGGTCCTAGCTATTAAGGGAGCACCTGTCTTCCAAGCAATTCAGAATATGAGAATTCTAATTAAATAAGAAACACATTTTGGGATGAACTCTTCTCAAGGAACATTTAGGGATTCCATAATAAATTCCATTCGCAAAACTCAATATTCCACATATTTAATTTTACTAATATCCCATTTACTAACTAATTAACTAGTTAATGAAAATACAAATACCCAAATGATATACGTTTTAGAACCCAATTTATTAAAGTAAATATAATTATTTTCGTTTTCATTCACTGCTGTTATGTGAATATAGAACTTTAAACATAATGAGAATTACATTTTTTATTCAAGTATTAAAATAAAAACATTTTGATGCATGTGAAGTAAAAAAGTAGATATTAAGATTTCAGAGGAAAGAAATATAATTTCTATTTTATTTTTTAATTAATTAATATTTTAATTAATTAATTAAATTTGTGGTGTATTTCGATTTTATCTTCGTTGTACTTTATTCCATTTAAATTAAAGTGCATAAAATCTCCTAACGAGGTTGCGAAATAGATTAATATATAAACATTTTATATATGCTGACTTTTTTTTAAACTATATTATAGATGAATGATGGGCTAATTAGTCAGATGTTTTGATTTAGTTTTTTAATAAAAAATTTTTTTCTGGTTTTATAGATTAAATATATAATCTATATTTCCGACGTTTCGGTTGTTTAAGACCATCATCAGGGAAATTTTTTTAAAAACAATTGAATAGAATAAAATTTGTATATGAAAAAATTTTTTGACAATTGATATAAATAATTACAACGAAAAATTTACAATCAGTTTTTCTGTAGAATGACTTTTCTAGCAATGCACAATAGACAAACGAAATATTTTCTATGTATATCTCGCCGCAAATTGTATGGTATGTTGATCTAGTCATAATATGTAAGGACTCCAGGGTAAAGCGTCGAGACAAGGAAGGTTCAGTATTAATGACCTTTACTGAAGCAAAATCTGGGTAATGATTTTTGTCAATAAAGTGTAAGACTAAAGCTGACCATTATTATTAGTCCCAGTTCATGGAATTTCATAGATACAGTTAATAATGTTCTTCGTTTCAATACGATCTTTAAGTTTGGTATATATGGTTGTATGAATTTGTGCACATGGTTCAAAAGATATTTTTAATTTATCTACTTTCCTTTCGATTATTTTAGCAATTTTAACAGATCAGTCAGTAGGTCAGTGATATATACCATCGATCTTCTAATCGTAGGACTTTGTGTACTTTGAGCATGGTTTCGAGTTCTTGAAAGTTGAAAATACTGCCTTACACGATGAAGTTGACTAACAATCATTTTGTGAGGATAATTATTATCAGGCAAAATGTTGTAAGTTTTATTAATGTTGGCAGCGTTCTTTGTCTTTGTCACGCATATTGAAAATATGCGGAATAAAAGGTTATAAATCACATTCATTTTCTGTTGTCGTGGGTGGTGTGATAAATAGTTAAGAATTTTGCCTGAGGTACCAGTCAATTGTTAGTCTCGATTATTTTTCTTAGATATTATTAAATCTAGGTAGGGAAGTTTTCCATCGAATTCATGTTCAACAGTGAATTGTATGCGATTGTGAAAGGAATTTAATAATTGTAGAAATTCAAGGATTTTGTCTTTTGAAAATATCGTAAACATATTTTAGAACAATTCTAGGTTTAAATGATAATTGGGGAATTTTGATATTAAAGATTTCATTTGTAACAATGTTGGCGATCGTAGGAGAAATATTTGAGCTCATGTGCTAATCCATTAATTTGTCGAATCAATTAGTACAAAATGTATAATTTTAAAAAGAGGTGTTGAAGCATGGTTGTGTATTGTTGGATAAGATGCCATTGTATTTTACTGGGAAAATCTATATCTGTGAAATTAAAAAACCAATTCTTACCAATTGTGCTTCTTAAATTGTATATATATATATATATATAATTAATATATAAATTCTAGATAAATAGATGTATATTTTGCTATATAGATTATATATGCATAATGTATAACTCAATTTAACCAAAATTGTACCAAAAATCAAAACAGTTTTCACTTTTTTTATATGAAATGTTTCAAGTTATAAGACAACCTTAGTCTAATCCGAGCTTAAGTAGTAAGATAAGTTAAATAGATTTCTGGAACTCTTCTCTCTCTCTGTTAAACCTGTTTTAGAAATTTTAAATTACATTATTAGGAGCCACCTGCTACTACATATTGATCTAAGTGTTTTAATTGAAATTTTGGTATTACTTGAAGGGTTTCATTGGGTTGAATAGCCCTAAAAACCCAAAAAATCAAAAGCCTTACAAATCGGTATACAAAATGTGGCAGTTGGTGATGATACTGTTGATTGTGATGATGATGACCTTCTTCAAATGTTAATTAAATGCGCAAACGTTTTCACATTTGCAAAAATATTTCGTGAATTTCGTCACGGTTCGCATGATAAACAATTGTAAGAAAAAAAAAATTTAAAAAAAAGAATTTGTTAATTTATAAAAAACTTTATAAAATAATATTTATAAGACACCATAAAAACATATATACTGTATATGCATATAATAAAATAATAAAATAGTGAGAAGTGTTTATATAACTTAATATTAATTTGCATTTTGGCGTCGAAATATTATTTGCGAGTTATCGCCTTATGTGTAAATGCGAGTAATAATAGCGACGTCTCCACTAAAAATAAAAGTGTCTGCTGAACGAAATTATTTAAAAAACATAAAATTGAAATATTAAAAATAAATAAAATATATTAATTACATTAACATAAAATTTGTCTTCCTTTCTGCCATTTTAGATGACCATTATACCATATATAAAATAAAATGTGTGAAAAGCTTCAATAACTGAGGTGATGTGATGTGATAATCTCTAGGCTTTCCTTATTGTAACCACAATAAAATATATCTTATGTGTATACCGCCAAGTGATAGTATTTTTAAGATCTTCAAAATTATTATAATAAATATATTGGATAGAAAATTAAATAAATTACGTATATAGTGGAATGAGTGTTACAAGTTTACCCCGTCGCAGGGGCATACACTATCACAATATATTCACAAACAGTATTGAGTTCGGTTATAAATATTGGTACGCACTTGCTGTGTTAATATTACTTTTTTTGGATGTTAGTAGTTATGGTAAGTTTGAAATCTTACAAATGTATAATTTATATATATAACATATATCATTTTTTTATATACATAATGTATAATATAATTATTTAACATAGTTAAACATTAAAAATATATCACCATACATTTTAGTTTTTATCGTACAGCATTATTTTACTATAATTTTTTTTAACTTTTATTGATAAATATTTCATAAAACGCAATCGCTTAACCATAAATTATATCAGATATTCCTCTATACTGCATTCTGTTTTCTTCAAATAGGAGTTAATCGGTTAGTTGGTAAAGTGAGCCCACTAGCACCAATACTAAACAAATTTAGCCATCTATAAACCTATTTTAAAATAGTAAACTAATTAACGGACCAAAATCGATAATATTATATCACTTGTAACCGGATATTGTCTTACAAACAATAACGCCTAACTGACAGTATTTGCAAGCTTAGTGAAAAGAACAAAGAAAAATGATCAAATCTCATCTATTATACAGATGCCAAGCCTTAGCAAGAAGTACAATTACAATTCTTGAAAAACTCTACTTCGAGAACCCGGGAAAATAGTAAGAGACTGATATTGGGAGAATCACAAAATTGTTAAAGGAAATAAATTGTTTAGAGTAATAAAGGTAGCTCTTGACTTTACAATATAGATGTCGTAAAATCCTTATGGAATTCCAAATTCTTAGAAGGCGTATATATTGTAGATAGAAGCCTAGGTAAATGGAAATGACCATTAAATGGTCTATGTCTTATTTAATGCTTTAAGATACAAGATTAATATTTCTGTTATGTGCAAATGTGATAATCTCTTAAGGTACCCAATTTTTAAACATGTAATATATAGTATAAAAATTTTTGTTAATTTGATGGCAGAAATCAATCTTCCACATTACTGTATTCAACAAATATAGATTAAAATAATTGAAGACAGAACATTGTGTTGCTACCTTTCCAACCTGATAGTGAATGTCAAGGGTGAAGGTTAGAGACATATTTTTTAATTTTGATCAAAACATATTACCAATTCACATTTACCAATGGCACTACGCTTAATATTTTCAATTAAATGAGCTTTAAAATATTCTATAATTCCTTGAGATTTGATAGTTAACATAAAATTAAAGTAGTTATGAGCAATGCTTATATGTACCACCCGAACTTCTTCTTTCCAAAAATTGTGAAGCATATAAAATTACATAGGATTTTCTAGCTAATTTAGGAGATTTGATCTTTTTTCACGTAACTGTTTCATCCTCTGTTCATATCTGTGATGCAAAGTACTTATATTAGTTTTATTCAATGTTTCTTTAACCAATAATTGTGTTTTTCAAATAAATGAAGCTTTCTTCATACTTCTTGTTATATTTTAGCAACAAGTTTTGGGAAATGTATTATGACTCCTCCGAATTCACTTGGGCTGAAAACGATTGATCCAATATCTTTTATTATCTCTAATATAGATTCTCTAAAAAGTAAAGATATAAAAGACTTTCTTTATCTTCCCAACAACTGAAAACAATGTTAAATCTTTTACCATGATATCCTTACCGACAGTGGCCCGGTGACATAATCACCATAAAACTGATATATACTGGGGCATCTCAATTTGATCGCTATATAATAACTTCTATAAGTCTAAACTTTATGAAGTAAACAATAACTTTATAAAGTTTTTTTTTTTTGTAATGTTATAGGTTTTATTTTTATAATAAAAATCTGCGCAAAAACATCACTATGTATTTTCTGAGTCCATGATAGTTCCAATTTCATAAAAGATAAAGCTACTTAATGAAAAAAGAAATATGAACTATCTTATTAATTGTAAGATATACAATTCGGGTGTGGTTAATCTAAGAATCACATAAACTGTGGTGATTCTGAGAAGTGTTTTTAATAATAATAATAGTATAATAATATGATTAAACAAATTTTAATTTTAGGAAAATGGCATAAAAGTCAAAATAGCTTTGACTCATTTTCTTAATCATTAAATGATTCATACACAAAATATAATGAAATAATATAAATTCATATATGTGGCCTGATCTATTAATTGATGGTTTGCATCTATAAAAGGTCATTTTCGTCATTATTAATAAGTCCACATAGATTAATAGAGTAATCGAATTACTTTTCCAAGATTTAAATACGTATTTCTCTATAAATAAAAATAAGAGTTTTAAATGCGAAAAGCTAAAATAAAAATAAAAAGTCTTTAAAGACAGTCAACAAAATATATATATTTTGTTAATTTGACTTTTAAATTACTTGTATAAAACTGAAATCCTGTACAGGATTAACCTGCTATAAAACGGGAATGATAATGCACTCCATCGTATAGATAGTAATATCCAAAAAAAGGGGTATTGGTAACTGATATTCATATATATCATCCATGGTATTTGTTTCTATGAAACTGTCATTAATACAATATTTTTATTTGTGAAGTCCTTATCCTTATTCCATCATGTCATCAACCAGATAGAAAAAAATAAATTTAGTTTCACTAAAAATTCAAAATTTTTTTGTTTTTAGGACCACAGAGTACATTTTGTAGAAAACACTTTTTAAATCAATACAAAATAATACGCATAAATTTTAATTTTGACGTATTAATTTTAAGACCACCTTTCAAATTTAAGAGACGTTCGTTAGTGAGGTAAGCATACTTTGAATTTCACTATGATTGGAATAAAGCAACACAACATCATCGGCGTAAGCCAAGTGATTTAGCTTTACATATAATTTAAACTGTATACCTTATCCGTTAAGTTCAGCTTCGTTCTACCATTAACGTCTATGATTGTAATATTAATGATGTTGACGATTTTGAGTACCTGGAAAGTAAGTTAGATGTTAGATGTATCTAATCACCTTCAAAAAGCGAAGTATGTCCCTATGCCTCATTAACTAGCATTTGGAGAGCCGCCAACATCGCCCAGGCAACCAAAAGGGAAAATTTTCAAGGACTGTGTAAAGACTGTCTTATTGTATGGATATGAAAAATGGCATATAACTAAGAACACCATTAACAAAATGAAATGATTTTTAAATCGATACCATAAGAAAAGTTACGTGCAGCATAGCTCCTTCAGTCTTAAAATGGAATCCGATCAAGAAGAAAAGTACGTCCAAAGACAACATGCAGGCGAACAGTATTTACAGAAACATCCATTCTTTAAGTCTTATATAAGTTACTGTAACTGCAAAATCCATGATTCTCATTCGAACTGATGGTTAACAAACAGAATATATTTCTTATCTGAAAAATCTAGTATCACTTGAAGCATATAACTCATACGTATATAAATTAAAAACCATCGATAATAGTCATATATGCCCCTTTGAGTTCTTCATGATTCAGATCAAATTCGGATTAGTACTTCTCTTTAAATTTAAATTTTCTTGGAAAACAACAACAATTTTACGTTTGACATGTTCATGACTCTCTACATAACATGGACCCAGCACTTTAAATTGACTTTTGGGCTTATTACTAAGATATATTAATTTTAATGCTTTTTAAAAACACTTTATTGCTACATAATGTTATTTTTGTAGCATATACCATAATTTCTATGTATATAGAGAAAGTGATTACCTCTGTATGGTTGTGTTTGATATAATATTAATATAATTCTTCGAAGAGAATCTTCATTCTGTATACCGTATTCTTGTATTGGTTAATTCATTGGGTGTAAATTAATTGTATTTAGGTATATTAATTCTGATTATAGCAGTTCATATATTTTAAGAATACTTTTGTTTTGTTTTGGATAGTCTTACAATAATCTACTTTTAATAGCTTCAAAATTTGATAATTATTACTGAACTAGTTAACTAGTTATGGTCAGTTTTTGACATTCCAATGAAAAGTTGAATATAAATTATTGTACAGCGAAAACTTTCCACATTAGAACTTCTCTTGAAAGAACACTCTATGAAAGAAAATTTTTTTAAAATGAAATCTTTGGTAAAATGAAATCTCTGACGAAAAGATGGTATATGCTCGCTCAAAGAGTTTTGAATATAGTTGGGCACTAAGATTCTTTACTGTACAGATTGTATGTCTGTCAGTCTTAAAACTGTCTCCACATTAGGGCCTAGAAATCAAATACTTTAATTTTATTGGTGTTTTATTTAAAAAAAAATTATTCTGCATAAAAATTAATATAAAAACATGTGATGTCATCAGGTACGTAAATATGGTATATAAGCTCTAAAAGACTTTATAAAAATGTTATTAGTTTTCTAGTTCAGTGTTAAAAGTGTTACTTTAGTTATAACAAAATCATTATTGATTTAATAGTTTTCCATTATTCAATACGAATAATCTATCTCATCTCAGCTGAAAACTTTTAAATAAAACTCGTTTGTCAGCCTATTGTCTAGAAAAAAACCAAATTTATCTAAAGCATACATTTATTTTAATTAACAAAAAAATGCCAACATTTTGTTAACTATATATCAAATGCGCCATAAAAAGGCACAAAATCCAATTAAATTTTATTTCTTCTAAGCATTTTTATCAATCTTGACTTGTGCATTTTTGAATGAACTTTTTATTCATGCCTAGATCGGACAGCTAAGCCAATCTGGCATGTAAAAATCTTAATTATTTTAAATAAGCCAAATTCAATAGAATTTTGCTTGGAATTTCGGATTTTTCGGATTCTTATTGGGAATTACTCAATTAGATAAAGATTTTAAAAATGGCATTAATTAACGGAAACCTTGTGATAACTTTTGGCAGTTTCTTTTTCCTAATTAATCAATAATACTTAAAAAAATATTTATAGCGTTTAAAGAGTATTTAGTGAAAGGCACTAACTAGGTATTACATTAAAATGTAATATTTAGTGATAATAGCCGTAATTTTTTCTTTCAGAGTAGCAAAAAAATACTCGCAACTTACGAAAGAAAACATGTGAAGCAATAACAATGCTCTTAAAATCTTCAGAGTTAGGTTTTACTCGTAAAAAATTTCAAGTGTTAAGTTTCAATG